TACACAAAAAAGCATTGGCAGAGATTTCATCAAAGAATGGATCTGCTACGGGAACCCCGTAAGATACCGGTATTCAGTAATTTATTCTTTGGACAGGATAAACGTCAGGGGATCTCCATCCCTGAGGAGGGTGCACTATACACATACTACATGGCTGCTTGTAATCAATCACGAGTAACTGCATACACCAGAGGAAGAGGAATGAGCACTCAGTGTACTAGCACAATAAGAACAATGCAACATTTTTTATAAGCCATCAGACCACTGAGCTAACCTAGCCTAGCTAATGACTAAAACACTGGAGAGCAAGGCTTGGAGGCAGTGTGGCAGGTACTTCAAATAACATTAAGCCTTCAGGAAAGTCACTACTAATATTCTGAAAAGAGCACACAGACCCATCAATCATACTGGCAGGGGACACTTGTCCCAAGTTCCACTAACAAGCAAAAAGAAGAAATAACAGACACCAACTCAATCACCATATGCTCAGAAGGGAAACATAACACTGACAGAGGATAATTCCCAAACGTGCCCCTCTGCAACAGACAAGCCACAGAGAGCGACAGATAGTGGACAACACATCAGATGTATTATGTTGCAGACTTGTAGCCGAGCCCACAATATTAAGAATAATAAGCAATCTGACGGCAGTTAGAACATTTTGTTTTCTATATAGGACTAAAAGGAAATTGCAATTCAAACATGGCAAATATCACCCATTTTAATAAAAGACTGTTTCCTTACAAGAAACTGTGGCCTCTCCTGAGCAACTCCCTGTCTGGAGCTACTCCGGTTTGTCACAGCATCATAGTATCTTTTGAGGGAACAATCTGAAATCATTTAACATTCCCAGAGGTGCAATTCTCTAGCTTACCCAAACAGAGCAGATTTTGCTGAGGTTGGAAGTTTACTATGAAAATGCCTGATTTACGCAGGAAACCACTCAAGAACATCTCAGGCAGATAAATACTTGTCATTCCAGCCGGAATAAGTGTTTCTTAAAGGAACACCCAGTTCAGAGGCTCTTCATCCCAAATCACCTTCAGAAAAGGAAACTTTTAGGGGTTGTAGAAAAGGCAGGCAGTACTCCTTGCAAAGAGGAAACAGCCCCCTGAGTCCACAGCTGACAGAGCAGCCCACTTCACAGGGCTGCAAGATGCTGCCAACCCAGCTGAATGCAGCTGTGCCAGAGAGCACATTCCTCCATACTGTACGACATGTGCTGCTCACTGCAAGGCTTTCTGGACCTCAGGCAAAGGAAAGCACGCAACCAGCTGCACAAATGAAGCCTCGTCCTACTCTCCATGAGGCGTCAGGTAACAGACAGTCTGTCCAAACAGGACAGCAGGGTTGCAGAGATGAGAACATTCACCTCATGGCGCTTCAAGGCATCACCATACCTGGCACTTACAGGATACTACCAGTTGTACTTGCAATAATGGCTCTCGTTCCAAGAAGAAAATTCATCAGGTTATAACTTTCTAAAACACACATTTGAAAGTTTTAATGATAGAGAATTCAGAGCACCTTCTGAAACAGAATGTCCTGAAGGTGCACATGTACACTCTCACAAAGTCAGCCCAAGCCACATGCATTTCCCTAAGTCAATGCTTTTCCAACTGCGTTTGAGCACACTGTGGGGGTGGCAGCAAGACCTGCAATGTTTTTGAGCTCATGCATCGTATTAAGAGACGAGGCGCACTGGATGAAATGCAGTGTATTTGAACCCTTGCAGCACCATTCACAGCATAATTTGTACAGGTAGAATCTGCCTTTGCAATCTGAGCTCAGCAATACTGATGCATTAGCTGAAATACAACTCGTATCTCTCACCTCTAACTAGAACTGCGATGACTTATCACTGAAACAGCATCCACATAGCACTGAACACAATAGCTGTGTCATGGAAAAAGAGTAAGAGGGAACACAATCAGGCAATCACACAATCTTATCTTGTTTCCTAATTAAGAACTTGCATTTATGGGCTCTCAGCTATTAAAGGGAGGGAAAAGAAAAAGTAGTCCTCTTAACAGAGGTTGAAAAATGCTACTACTTGGAAAGATCAAGACCCCAAGCATGTTTGCACAAAGTCCTTTCACACATTTTTTCCAAATGTACTGCCTGATCAGCACACAAAACAACGAAAACACAGTAAGACATTACCCTGATGCAGACAGGCATTTCACTTTGGCAAAGGTCTAGTTCATTTCTTGCAGTCTCCATACAGTAAAAACCTGCTACAACCCTTAAGGGTACTTGTTTGCATGTATCACAATAAAGACACTTTCTCCTGCCTCAGAACATCACTATGAAGACTTTTACTAAGATAACCATGAGTGCAAGTTAAGGCTGATTGATTGACCATTTTAGCAAAAGCATGCTTCACACCCTGCAGCATGAATCAACCAGGATTGTTTTCCTCCTAAGACACTGCAATGGGAAGCCAATAATCCCTATCCCAGTGGGTAGCCCAACTGAAGATGCAAAGAGCATTTTGCTTGGCTTCCAGGTGTTTAGTTCCTTCCACCTCTCTGCATAACTGCCCAGAAAATTCAGCTCTGCTCCCCTGAGAGCCACTTGAGCCAAAGGCAGCTGAGTCTAGGCTATGCTTACTCAGTTCATAGGAAGGGCATTAAGAGTTCACAGATTTCTCTCAACTTGGCCCTGAAAAGAGAAAGACCCCAGCAGGAGGGATGATACCTCCATACTGAGAGCAAGGCAACTTCCAAAACTAAACGTGGACTTAGTTCAGTGGAGCATTCCTGATTCAGCAGGGAAGACTTCCATTACGGGCAGCAGTTCATCTTAGACGCAAGATCCTCCTACAAGGCACCAGAAGTCTTACAGTCATACTACTGAACTGTTGAGTACACCGGGGCTTATACTTCATGGTGCCTATTTATAATTCATGGTGGCCCAGACTGCCTCTCTGAAATCCTGAAGGCCTGGACACAACCTCTCACCTGTCCTGCATCAACAGCCAGAGAGCAACCCCACAAACGCTGATCTGGCCCAGTCCCGCACTGCTACTGCAGCAGCTGGAGCTGCATTTTCAGAAAACAAAACACCTGAGAAGGGACAGCAAAGACTTGCGATACAGAGCCTAGAAAAAGAAAGCGTGTTCTATAGCATTAATCTCAGTGCAAAGTTCTGCTTTCCCTAGATATGCATAGGGCTGGAACAATTGAGACTATACACACATAAGAGACAGAGAGGCCCAAGGGAGAAGGATTGTTGCCCTTGAATGGGTATTATTTTGCCACCACTACCACTCCCAAAGCACAGTAAGACCAGATACCACCTGTGCTGCGCACTGGGACAGTACACTTTCTACCTTGAAGAACATAATGTCAAGACTGAAACATTATACAAGCAGATCAGTAGAGGAAGAATATGGGCAAGCAATAAGTAAGCACAGTGCACGGGTACACCACTAACCCAGCTCAGATTCGGGGCTTAATTTCCCTTTAGTTCCAGTGAACACAAATACCTGCCCGACAGGTGCCCACCTGTGACTCATTCACTCAGGAAAGCTCAGGCTAGCTGAAGACTAGAAAACATGGAAGCACCAGTCCCACACTGGTCGCTGTGGCCTGACAGGACAGGACTTCTTCAAACACCTGCTGACTCTACAGGCATAGCAGCACACGTTAGAGCCACGGCCTCTGAAGGAAGAATCAGCTTCCATCAGCTTCTTCCCATCCTAACAACCACTGCAGTTGAAGACATTCCAGACATGAAATTTCAGCTTAATTTTACAGAAGTTTCCTCCAAGCTGACGTGTCAGATGGCTGTTCCCCCATGGCTATCAACACACAAAGAAGCTCAGGCATCTACACAATGCTAATGGAAACTGCCCTTGTAAAAAGGCACAGGATTCATTGGGCCAAAGAGCAATTCTTCAAACGACTTTCAGACTGATAACACACCATTTCTGCTCACCCACTGGCATCCCCTCACTCATGTAACCCACTTCCAAACTTGGTCTCACTATTCCCAATCATTCTGTCTTCACTTTGTCAAATGCAGTTCCTCCTCTCTCTAGCTCTTGCAGCATTTCCATTTGTTAACACTATGTACATACACATGCTTCACCATCACTAAGTTCCGTGCTCTGTATCTGCAACTTCTATTCTTCCTGCAAGAAGTCAATCTGGTAATTCTGTCCTGCTCTTCAAATTCCAGCTTGGGAGTAACCTACCCACAAATAAACAATACCTCAAGTCACTGTAAAGCTATAGAATGATAACTGCTTCCTGTGCCACACAACAGCCTCAGCACGTGTCATCAAAAGGTGCACTGGCTTTTCACAGACACATGTTGCAAACTCCTTCCCATGTGCTACTGCCTGCTCAGCCCAAGACCTCCCTGGGCACTGCAATCACACAGGCTTTCTCTACTAGTTCAGAGTATGTCAGAACATTTCTACTCGGACCCATCTGGCCACTCAATCACAAGTGTCTCCCTACAAACACATCAATCTTCTGAAGCCACTTCACAAAGGCTGGTGTTCTCTTGCCCTACAGGAACAATTATTTTTCCCCTCCTGAATTTTACACCTCTAGTTTTCGTGCAGCACTTGAACACATCACTTGCAGACAACATACCACAGCCCAGAGACGCACGAATCCAGACTGACTTCTTGATCTGCCTCTGAACTCTCATGAGAAGACCTCCTGATCAATGTCTGATGAGTGGGCCAAAAGACACTCATTTTATTATCTCATTAACCCGTCCAGCACCTCCTGGCTCCAGGACAGGTCTTTGCATTCTCCCCGTAAGCCTGCATATACCCTTGACCACACACTCAGCAACGACATTTACACCATTCAGTTTGTCTTCCAGCTCTGCCAGAGATACAACTGTGAGTTCGGCAGGCAGCACAGTGTATCCTTTTTGCTGTCACCTACGAACTGGTGACACGGGTAACCCCAAGGGCCCACGGATGCCAGGAGGCCACTACCTGCCTTCAGGGGACCGGCTGTAAGGCCATCACTCACTTCAGGGGCGAAGAGCCAGCTTTCAGAACCAGCACGTTCACGATGATATACCCCACTCTGAGCTCTTCCAAGGCCATCACGGCAGACACTAGCCAGAGGCCGCAACATGGAGTCAACGCAGCCATCTCCCGGTGCTGGCACACCCAGCCCCACCGGCCCCCGGTGCCTCCGCTGCTCCCATTGGAAGCACACCGGGCGGCACGGTGGGGAGAACGGCG